TTAAGTTACCTTTTTTACCCCAACCATTCTAAATCCTTTCAATTGAAGTCCTTATGTTACCCAATGGCCCCTCCTCTACAAAAACCTTTTCAACTTAGATCCAGAATTTACTCTTTAACCCCTACTTCCATAAACCCTTTCATATTAAGTCCCGAAATTACACTTTAACCCCTAAAACTCCAAATCATGACATTTGGCTCCACGAAACCAACACCCCACTAATTATTATTTGATTTCGGGTTATCATAATATTAAATAATAACTAGAATTACTTCTCGGGGTCCCACGTTTATTATTTAATTATCTTATTTTAAACGGGATGTTACAAAACATTTCCGACATCAGAGTTTCCCGAAATCATGGATCATAAACAGAGGATGTGTATGGTTACGCCTTAGCCTTTCCGTGGTCATCCGAACTCTGAAGTACCTGAAACATAACCCAAAACTGTAAGCCAATGCTTAGTGAGTTCTCATAAAATACCAACACAACACATACTCATAATAACAAACAACATGCATACAAAGCCTTCAGCCTGAATGGTACCCCCCACCGGCCTGCAGACTATCTGGTACACTCACAGAACATTCAACATCACTGGTACGCCTCAACGGGCCTTCAGCCTATCTGGAACGTTCTTCGGGCCTTCGGCATGACTGGTACGCTTCTCGGGCTTGCAGTCTATTCGGGACGCCCTGGGTCTCTTGGCCTCCAGTCTACACTGGTCTGCCTCAACCCAACCACACATAAACCATGTCGACATATACATAACAGATAAGCATACATATAACCAGTCAACAGACAATCAGGCAGATCTTACATATCACTAAGCATAGCATCATCCTATATACCAGGATACAGATCTAACTGATCACTACAACATACCAACATACGATAAACCAGGATACAATCCAATGGGCCAACCTTGGTGCCTTTGATCCGAAAGTACAGTGAGGAAAAATCACCTCACAAACTGAACAGAAGCTGCTGATGTATCGACTCTGAACCTCAGCTCTCTAACCGACACCTATTCCCACCAAATGACCAATTTCCAACAAAATCCCAAAATATCCTCAAGGTCAGACTTGGTCAAACTCAAACTCGTCAAACCAATTAGGTCAAGTGAGTCAACCTAACCTAGTCAACCCAACCGATTCAACTCAGGGTGTGTATACGCGGCGTACTCCAGAGGTATGTTGGGCGTACACGCAGCCTCGCACGTTGAGCACCATCGGGGTGGTTGACCTCGTACACAGGGTGTACTCTGAGTACGCGGGGCGTACTCCTCGGAAGTCCAAAATCCATTAAGAGCTTAATAACTTAAGCTCTTATGTCCATAATTCAGATCCATGGCTAAAATACTCTTAGGAGTCATAAAGTCTCCAACTTTATAACTTAGCATGAAAAATAAGTTCTTAACTCAAGGTCTTATTCCATTAAGACCTTTTAAATTTTGCGAGCAAAACTAGCCATTTGGAACCTATTTTTATGACTTAAGACCCCTCCTAGGATCTGAAAGGACAACTTGAAGGTCAAGAACATGCCATGTTCAAGATCTAACCTTTTGGGACCAAAAAGCTCCATAAAGACATCAAAATCTAGATCTATATGCTAGAGGGATAAAGTTACAAGCTTTATACCTTAGGAAGGTTGCAAATGATGTAGAAATCCCAGATTCACGTGTTCCACTACTTCAAGATGAGTTTGGCTTCGTTCCTTTTTCTTCTAAGGCACCAAAGTACACACTCTAAGCTTGAAAATGCTCCTCAAGGTGAAACTAGGGTTGCAAAGATGTATGAGAGGGATGGAAGCTGAAGGAAGGAGGTGGCGGCTGGTGTGAGATGCTAGGGTTAGGGTTACAGTGAGTTTGACAATTATATACCCGATTCCTACAACTTCAACCCATAATAACGGAAATGGTCCCTCCTTCACCATTTTCTTTCAAAACAGGTCCTTAAGTTACCTTTTTAACCCCAACCATTCTAAATCCTTTCAATTGAAGTCCTTATGTTACCCAATGGCCCCTCCTCTACAAAAACCTTTTCAACTTAGATCCAGAATTTACTCTTTAACCCCTACTTCTATAAATCCTTTCATATTAAGTCCCGAAATTACACTTTAACCCCTGAAACTCCAAATCATGACATTTGGCTCCCCGAAACCAACACCCCACTAATTATTATTTGATTTCGGGTTATCATAATATTAAATAATAATTAGAATTACTTCTCAGGGTCCCGCGTTTATTATTTAATTATCTTATTTTACACGGGATGTTACAAAACATTTCCGACATCAGAGTTTCCCGAAATCATGGATCATAAACAGAGGATATGTATGGTCACGCCTTAGCCTTCCCGCGGTCATCCGAACTCCGAAGTACCTGAAACATAACCCAAAACTGTAAGCCAATGCTTAGTGAGTTCCCCTAAAATACCAACACAGCACATAATCATAATAACAAACAACATGCAAACAGAGCCTTCAGCCTGACTGGTACGCCCCACCGGCCTGCAGACTATCCGGTACGCTCACAGAACATTCAACATCACTGGTACGCCTCAACGGGCCTTCAGCCTATCTGGAACGTTGTTCGGGCTTTCGGCATGACTGGTACGCTTCTCGGGCTTGCAGTCTATTCGGGACGCCCTGGGTCTCTTGGCCTCCAGTCTACACTGGTCTGCCTCAACCCAACCACACATAAACCATGTCGACATATACATAACAGATAAGCATACATATAACCAGTCAACAGACAATCAGGCAGATCTTACATATCACTAAGCATAGCATCATCCTATATACCAGGATACAGATCTAACTGATCACTACAACATACCAACATACGATAAACCAGGATACAATCCAATGGGCCAACCTTGGTGCCTTTGATCCGAAAGTACAGTGAGGAAAAATCACCTCACAAACTGAACAGAAGCTGCTGATGTATCGACTCTGAACCTCAGCTCTCTAACCGACACCTATTCCCACCAAATGACCAATTTCCAACAAAATCCCAAAATACCCAAAATATCCTCAAGGCCAGACTTGGTCAAACTCAAACTGGTCAAACCAATTAGGTCAAGTGAGTCAACCTAACCAAGTCAACCTAACCGAGTCAACTCAGGGTGCGTATGCGGGGCGTACTCTAGAGGTATGTTGGGCGTACGCGCAACCTCGCACGTTGACCACCATCGGGGTGGTTGACCTCGTATACAGGGTGTACTCCGAGTACGCGGGGCGTACTCCTCGGAAGTCCAAAATCCATTAAGTGCTTAATGGCTTAAGCTCTTATGTCCATAATTCAGATCCATGGCTAAAATACTCTTAAGAGTCATAAAGTATCCAACTTTATAACTTAGCATGACAAATAAGTTCTTAACTCAAGGTCTTATTCCATGAAGACCTTCTAAATTATGCGAGCAAAACGAGCCATTTGGAACCTATTTTTATGACTTAAGACCCCTCCTAGGATCTGAAAGGACAACTTGAAGGTCAAGAACATGCCATGTTCAAGATCTAACCTTTTGGGACCAAAAAGCTCCATAAAGACATCCAAATCTAGATCTGTATGCTAGAGGGATAAAGTTACAAGCTTTATACCTTAGGAAGGTTGCAAATGGTGTAGAAATCCAAGATTCACGTGTTCCACCCCTTCAAGATGAGTTTGGCTTCCTTCCTTCTTCTTCTAAGACACCAAAATACACACTCTAAGCTTGAAAATGCTCCTCAAGGTGAAATTAGGGTTGCAAAGATGTATGAGAGGGGTGGAGGCAGGTAAGGTGAATGAAATGAGGCCATAAGAGTGCTTAAATACGAGTCACACCCTAAAAGTTAGGGTTTCCATATCTGGCAAGTACTCCCCGCATACTAGGGCGCACCCTAGTACGCTCGGCGTACATTACGTACACATGGCGTACTCCCAAGGCCAAATTACGAAAATGCCACTAGGGCTTCTTTTGCACATTTTCTTGAACTAGGGATCAAAATGCAACATAATTAAATTATAGGGTTGAATTTAGAAGTACCTTATCACCATTTGTTACAAAATTATTGAAAATAAGTGTTGAGATGTGAAGCTCACTTTATCAATGTCGATTAGAAACGAGGGGTAGTGGAAAGGATTTGAAAAGATCGTGAAGAAACCACTTAAACCACATTTAGTAATTAGTACCCCGAAGTAGTAAGGCGTAATAGAAAAACAAATACTATATAATTTAAACTAATATTATAGGAACCCACCTGCATGAAGAGTGGTAAATCAAATTCAAGAAAAAAAAAAAGCTACATGTAACTTTGAAGTTGATCTTAGGTTCTCAGGTGGTTTTCGGTGAATAGTGGTGGTTTTCGGTGTCTGATGATAGTTGGTCTGTGGTGGTTTTCGATGGCTAGTGGTGGTTTTCGGTGTCTTATGATAGTTGTCGGTGGCTGCTGGTGTCGATGGTTCTGAAATTGAAAAATAATATATAAAAGATAAGATAATCTTTTCTTGTCTGTCAAGAAATGCAAGTTAGGAACAAACTCACAATTTTAGATTTTAATAACTTGTTCTTCCGGATACCTCACTTACCATATATTATCCTAACCCTACATACTTTGACCTACACTTTCCCCTGAAATTACATACATCTTCTCAACCTAATTTTTAGGTACATTCAACCCAATTTCACCTCATCATCAAAACCCACAACATCAACATAAGTCATCATCAAGTTTAAAAAAAATTGTTCAACTTCCAGCGTAGCATTTTTTTTGTCAGAAAAAAGACCTAATTGTTTTTACTAAATTTTACAATGTATTTTACAAAAACAGTCAAAAGACTAGTCTCCAATTTTGAAATTAGATGATAATCCTTGTCGCTGTCAAATTTTCTTATGCATCACATTTTTAAACGAAAACTTGCCTAATTTCAATCTAGAACGAAGATCAAACAGATTCCAATTTGCAATGAAACAACAAAGCATCTTTTTCATATTACAATCCAGAATAAGTCATGATAGATCGAACAACTAGGAAGTATTCTTCAGCTAGCTTTGGCAGCATTTGCGTCGAGCTCCACTGGAGGATTATGCCGATCAAATGGTAGTTTAATCCGGTTAATAGAACCTACTGGCTTCAGTTTGACGTTCTCGCAGTTGCAAATCTCGATCATGAACCCATCAGGATCGTTGAAAAAAAGCTGATCAATCACCCCATCTTCCTCCCCTCCAACTGTTCTTTTCATGTATTTGATCCCCAAATCCTTCAATTTCTGCTCCATTGCTCCCATGTCCTCGCACTGAACAATTAATTGCAAACCCTAATGAAAAACAGAAATCGAGGAGTAGGAAAGATCGAGAGAAACATTATTAATTGATTAATTAAGAACCTGAAAGGATATGTGATTATCCATGGGGTCCAATTCATGGTTATTTGGTAACTTGTCTTCATCGTTGGCTTGAACTAGATGAATACCTATTCCGTAATTGAACAACCAGGCGCCATCGAAATCAAACGCCTGTGGTCGCTCTATCAACACGAAGCCCAACGCCTTGGTGTAGAACTCCACGGAGTCCTTGACTGACGTGCAGAGCCTCGACACATGGTTTAGCGACATGAGAGGGAGCTCATGTTCATGTTCAGCTTCATCTTCTTTTGGTTTGCGATTCTTATTGTCTTCCGATTTCCTCTCCATATTTGTCCTTCTCGAATTGGGATAGAGGTTTTAGCAGGGTTTTATGCTACGAGATGCCGAAGATCTGGAATGTGGCGGTTGATGACACCTTGACACGTAGTATGACGTGAACATTTGGGTTACGCGTGGACGAGCTTGGAAGTGACGCGTGCCACTGTCGCATTTTTAATGACTTTGAGCTTAAGCTAGGTTCTCACTTTCTCATAACAGCAATGTTCAAAATTACTAAGGCTACTCGGAGCACTCCCGTTAACGCCAATGAACACCGCCTTCCTCCCATGTTATTCAATGTTAAAGCATTCCGTTGCTTCCCGTTACAACCATAACATCTCTTAACGACATTTCCTTCTTTTTCTCCTAGTAACGTGTGTGGGGCGTTGCCCACACCCACCACTCTAATTACTAATTTATATGGAAACTTTCATTATTGAAAGTTTAATTACAAGCAAGTATAGAATACTCGAGTCGATAATCGATTATAAATAAAAAAATAAAACAATAAAATGCATGTACACATATCAAAACCAAAAGGGTGTTGAGTGTTGATTATTCCGTTTTCGTAAAGACAGAATTCTACAAAATGTATAAGGGGGAAATAAAGTCTAGCCCGACTCAAGATCATCGACATCGACAATACTCGAAACTGTTATAATTTAATGTTTTAGCGTTTATCCTTTCTATGGGGTGGTTCGAATGACACATCAAAACTATGTTGGGTTTCTTGGGATAGAATCACAGCAGCTAAAAAAGATAGGGTCTTGGAGTTGGGTCGATAAAAGCCCTAAATATTGCTTTAATAGTCAAATGGAGGTGGTGGTTAAGGTCGAATCCATCCTTACTATGGTGTGGGGCTGTTTCATGCATTCATAATTTACAATCAAAACCGGACGATTATAATGCAAACAAGAGACTCACTGGTCTTTGGAAAAATATAACAGGTGCTAAAAAGGAATTGAGCAAACTTGATATTTCTGTTTCAGATATTTTTTCAAAAATTGTCAATGGAGAGAACACCGAATGGAAATGTCATTTAACTCATGTGGGAAATATTCTGTCCACTCATTAAGGTATAAAACTGACCAAATCACCACTATATGCACGACGAAAATAAATTGGTTAAAGGAGGTCCCTTACAAAGTTTCGTGTTTGTATGGAGGGATAAAACGGGTAGATTTCCATCTGCCATGGCGTTGCAAAGAAGAAGGGTGTGGATAGAATCCACAGTCTGTGAGTACTACAATCATGAGAAGTAATGTGATGATCACATCCTTGTCCAATGTCCGTTTGCAAAGTTGGTGATGGAATGGGTTTTCAAATGGTGTGGTATACATACAGTGGCGGACGTAGAACATTTGAATAGCGGTGTCAGTCATATACGAAGGCGGTGCACCTAATAGATTTTTTTTACACTACGAGGCTGAATCGGAGCAGTGTTCTGGGACCCCAAATGCCCTACACAAGTCTGCCACTGTATACATACTGATCCGTTCAATACAATTGTTGAGGTTCTCAATTTCGCACCTGGATGGGGGAATTGCCCAAAAAAAAGACGGATTTTACAAGTCATTTGCCATGGAACCCTTTGGAGCATATGGAGGGCAATAAACGATAGTATATTCAACAACCGACGAACTTCACATACTCTGTTGGCAGACATGATAAAATATAGTATTTACATGGATCAAATTTAGGGGAACTTCTCCAAGAAACCTGAAATGGGTTGATTGGTGCAGGGATCCTTTCCTTTGCTTTTAAATTTTCATTTGTAATATTAATACTTTCTTATGCCCCCTTCTCTAAGCAGCTTGTTGTTAGTTTTGAGTTTGTTCTCTTTATTTAATATATATTTGTCCGTTCTAAAAAAATTTAAATTACTTTTATTGGAAACCTAACTCAATTTAATATTTCTCTCATACATAAATATATAATTCAACTAAATATAATTATTTGTATGTATTAGCAATCATATCTAATCTATTTAAATAATAAAAAATATCAGCAAGACACGTTACTACTAGTCTCTATTTATAAAGAAAAATTATAAATTTTGAATATATATCGTTTTATTCATATAACTTATATTTTATAGATTTCGTTTCAAAACTAAAAATGGTACCGCCAATAATTGTGAGTTTATGACTAAGCATTTTTCCTTGGTGGATGGAGCAAGTTTAGACGATTTCATAGATGTCTACATAGACATCCGATTTGGCGTGTTTTATGGCGGCAAAACACGACGCATGTCTTTCTTATTATTTTTTTGCTTTTTTTTTTCGGCGGCAAAGTGTCGAAGACAAGTTTGTGCCGATCAATTTTGGACAAACTACTATAAATGGGACAAACGATACTAAAACCAAATTCAATTTAAATTACACGAATATTCTTAAGGTTTTGTTTTTTTTCCCTAAAATAGTCCTTACGAAATTTTTTTCCCTCAGATGGTACCTACGGAGCAAACTTTGCACACAAATGATCCTTATGACTAACTTTCTTAACTAGTTCTGTTAAGTGTGTGTGAAAAGACGAAAATGCCATTTGTTTTTATTTATTTATTTATTTTTAATATTTTGTTAATTAGAAATTAAAAAAAAAGTGGCTCTCTCTCTCTCTCTCTCTCTCTCTCTCTCTCTCTCTCTCTCTCTCAAGAACCCACGCACACACGCTCCACATACGAACACAATTGATGATGAATACACACTCCATAATCGATTTGCAAGTGTGTGGTTGAATACTCCGCCCAACAATACCGGTTGCACCGATGAACTCCATCGCCAGCCACCCTCATCCACCATAACCCTTACCGAAAACATCCTCATCATCTCCCTCACTTCACGAAACTAAATTAAACCAAATGTGACAAACATCACTACATCTCCCACTCAAGAACACACAACCACCACATCAACGCCTCAGAAGGTTCGTGAGCCGCCGAGAAGAAACCCACTTGCCGAACGTTATCTGATTCACCCACATGCTATCCCTCATACTTCTCACTTCCTCTAATTTCGATCGATAATTGATTTCTGGAACCATTTAAAATTGATTTCTGAAACAACTGTCTCACCGATCTACAACTCGATGAAGACGATGGTTGAGCCGCACGTCTCTCTCCTTCTCCGGCGATGTTGTTCAGGGTCGGCCCCGATATTTTGGAGACCCTGTGCGATTTAACAAAAATATGCCCTAAAATATGAAAAATCTCAAAATCTAAGCAAAAATATTATAAATTTTAAGTTCCTATTGCAAATACATAAAATTGAAATTTCATTCAAAATAATACATAAAAAAATGGCTTCTATATTCTAGATTTTCCACACTTCAAATCACCAAGAGGGTATTAAAACTGTAAAAAAAAAAAATCAGAATCCAAATCAGCATGATATGTTTCATTATCAGGAAAAAAAAAGAACAATGATATTATATTAGAAATCTGACAATGACCTTATGATTTTCGACACTACAAATCAGAATTTACCTTATTTCCTTGTTCCTTTTGAGTATGATTTACGAAAATTCATGTCATTGTTCCTCCGATTTACTGATTACTAATTTGGAAGTAGTAGAAAAACAAAAAAGAAAAACTGATCAGAAATTTGCAGCTTCTGAAAAAAGAAAAACTGATCAGGAAAAGAAAGAAGGACAAAACTAAAGTTGAATGTTACCTTCTGATTTTGAAACTTCAAGCAAGTAACAAATTTGAGGCTTCTAAAATCGTTGGTAAGCTTTGTTAGAACTGAAATCGTTGGTAAGCTTCATAGTGTTGGGAAGAAAGAAAAAGAAGTAAGATTGCTAATTGCTTGTGTCTTTGATATTGGAATGGAATCGACTTATGCTTCCTGTCACCCGTGTGTGCGTTATCAGTGAAGAAGAAACCAGAAACCAAAGAGTTTTTTTGTTTTACCGAAATTTTTCCCGCTCCTCCTTGCTTGTCACACCCATAAAATTCGAGCCAATTTAAAACTTTTTAAATCATTTGAAACCATTCAGTTATTACAATTTGTTTTCAAAATAGTTTATACATCAGAGTTCCCAGAAATCATAATCATCAATCGAGGAAGTGTACGGTCACGCCTTCGCCTCCCCGCGGCCATCCGCTGAACCTGAAACAATAAACTAAAACTGTAAGCCCGAAAGCTTAGTGAGTTGCCCCCAAAATACCAACCTCATATAACCATAATCATATCATATCAACGAATACAGAACAACATGCATACTGAACCCTCAGCTTGACTGGACCGCCTTGCAAGGCCTACAGTCTACCTGGATCTATCTCGAGCCTTCGGTATGACTGGACCGTCATGCAGGTTCACAGTCTATTCGGACCGCTCGTCGGGTATGTTGGCCTCAACCGCACGAAGCAGGACCCCGCCTCAACCCACCCATCAACAATAACCATGTGCACATAAATAACATATACTGGCATATATATAACAGTCATACCGATCTAACAGATCATCAATCATAGCAACATCCTATAACCAGGATACCGACCTAACCAGGTCACTAACATAACATCATCCTATATACCAGGATACCAATCTAACAGATCATAATAGCATAGCAACATCCTAAACAGGATACTGACCTAACCGGTCACTAACATAACATCATCCTATATACCAGCATACCAATCTAACAGACCAATAAGTATATCATGCGAATACCCGAATACAAATCCGATAAAGGGTCGGCCTTGGTGCCGTAGACCCTGTTGATATAGTGAGGATAACTCACCTTGCAACTGCCGAACCGAAACACGAAAACACTGGCCCGAAGCACTGCTCCAAACTCCAACACCTGATGCCATCAATGAACCATGACATAAATATCCAAAATACCATAACACCCCTGAAGGTCAAACAGGTCAAAGTCAAAGTCCTAGCCAAAGTCAACCTTCCTGATTGAATCTACTCGCCGAGTCAACCCGTCGACTCGCCGAGTTCCCAACTTCAGAAAACTCTTATATCACAACTCGACTCGCCGAGTCACTCCATGACTCGTCGAGTTTAACGATCTCTGAGTCCTATCATGTCCAACTCACTGAGTCACCACTCAACTCACTG